AAAAAAATCAAGGAAATCCCCAAATTTTCATTTCGCGCTCGACACATTTTGCAAATGAGTAAAGTAGCCTGTTATCTGTGTACTAGTATTTTTAAGCTTACAGTAAGTCAGTACTTTCAAGAATTCTCAACTGCTTTATGCTATTTCATTTATCGTCGCATTGCTGATCCAATACGATTTTTGAAATCTGTCAGTTCAGTCAATATCCATTGTTTTATCAGATCGATAGCAGCGCTACTCAAAGCTGGCGAACCTATCATTCCACGCAGTTATGAGTCAGTGACTGTAGGATTCTGTCAAATCGTTGATTTTGGACATTTGATGGCACAGTGCACTGCAGAACAGGTTGATACTTCTTATTTCTTTAAAATCAGTAAAAGATTTTCGATCCTAATCTTTGATAAAGTATAATTCAGCAGAGAACAGCCTTAAGAAGGCAAATTTCAACGCTAGAATGCGCTATTTTCCAAATTCTTGTTATTTTCCAAATTCTTCATTGTTGTTCGTAAACTTCAAATCACAGTCTTTGCTGAAAAAGCGTGAAAAACAATTCTTTGCAATATATTCAGGTAATTGCGTGTCTGAATGATGCTTTCATGTCATTCGATGGAGTCATCGGGCGTCACGATGCTTACAAAGTTGAGACAACTGGAGAAACATACATGGTAGCATCAGGGGTACCAAGTGAGAATGGTGGACGGCATGTATTCGAGGTAGCTGAAATTGCGCTCGAGTTAAGAGAGGTAGTCTCATCTTGCTGCATTTTCACGATGATTTTATTTGCTAAAAATGAAACGAAGAAATTAATATTTGATAAGATTCCAGACAACTTTGACTTACAAGGTGGCCGCGGCACCCGGGTGGCAACTCCGTGTTCGCATTGGATTTCACTGTGGACCGATTGCTGCCGGTGTGATTGGCTTACGATCGCCTAGATACTGCCTGTTTGGTGATACGGTATGCTTACAAAACTTAAACTGCAAAAAGTTTGCTGATTTTATAAATAATTTTTAAATTTTTGCAAAAGATTTTTTAAAAATCCATCATATTTTTGCAGAAAGAGATGTCCAAGCACAATTAAATAATCATTGAGTTTGCATCTGATGTAATCAGCTAGGAACCAATCAGCTTTCAGAAAACACTTTGCTTAAACACGTTCCTTAGCAATCACACAAAGACTATCTCTTTAGGATGACATCATCGCTGTTCGGTAGGAAACTGTTTACAACACAACTGCTCTCTTTTGTTCTGAAGTGCCTCAGTTCAGTTTATAGGAAAGTGCTGTCTCATTGAAAATCTGGATTTTGCTCAGATCATTCGGCAATTTTTACCGATTACCCCTTGGTATTTTTGGGGTTCTATTCCGGCGTTTGTAGAGCTTCCGAATGCATGGGATTCAGATGGATTTTGTTCCGTGTTTTCAGAAGAAATTTTGTTACACAT